GTTTCCATCATTTCTGTTTCTTCTTAGATCAGCTTTTATGATTAATCTTTTCAGAACTCAGAATATATTTTAAATCTTTTGTAATAAGACGTGCTATTTTATCCAAAGAAAAAAAACTCTGTACATTAACTTTGATTTAAAACACTAGTTTGTCTTCACAATTTATCGAAATGGAAATAATAGCTGAAATTTTAATTGGAGAAAATTAATAACATGTAAAATTAATTTACATAGCTCTTTCTACTATAAATAACTCTGATCTAAATCAGGAAAATTAAAAAGGATTTTGGTGCAGGAACCAATTTTTGATTGAGGATGGGCGAATTTGGGAAGTGTTTCATATTTCAAACATTATGCAGGTACTTCAAAACATATTACTAAGCAAAATTCCAAACTGAATTGCCCGAAATACCCAAACACGAATAACATAGACTGGTTTAAAATATGAGAATATAATAATATAAGATACTGGGTTAAATGAACTTAATCTGAAAACTGATTAACCATAGTTTATCTATAATTCTGTCATTCAAGAGTTTTTTTTTAAAATAAAACAGTATATTACATCAAATTGACAATAATAACTATATATTAAACACCTTTATCAGAAATGATTAGATAGTTGGAAATCTGGGGTAGTTGGCTGTCTAATGGCTTAGGTTAGAGTCCACAGGTTTACAGAGTTCCGAGATAAAAAATTCATTCATTGTACATTCACAAATCGCGATCTAGAGGCCAACGCCGGACAGTCGAGCGTTATGAGGTATGAAACGATATGCTCTGATATTACAGAAAGAATAGCTTTAATGATGCCAGTATTTGGTATTAAAAAGACGTAATTTCACGACCATTATCAGAAGATTTTAGGGATAAACGTTGGATCTGTCATTAAGGCCCCTCGATTTCAACGGACTTATCAACTAATAATTCTACAGCCTATTGTCTTCAATCATAATGAATCAGAAGGCACAGCATATGACAGAAAAATTAAAAGGGTGCTAATACTTTAGTCTGCAGATGTACCACACAGAGCATGTAAAATAGAAAGGTCTAAAATTTTAGCTGCATGGGCGTTTTTGTGGTTTTCCCCATGTGTAACGTAGATACGAGCTAATTCCGCTTAGAAAGTTCTCCACGGAGGCACGTTTTTCCTCAGGCTGAACAAATAAACCGAAACCTCTCTGAAACTCTTAAGTAGAGAGTATGCCGCTGAGAAGAATTTAATCTTATGAAGATAACTGACTGTACTTACCTTTGAAAGCTAGCTGTGCATCTATGCATTTAATATTTATTATAAATTTGTTGCTGTTATTGTTAGGGATATTATTATTATATTAAGATTTTTTCATAGATTATTAATAAATGAGTTCGATACTGCACTTGTTGATGAACAAGCAACATGCAACCAATCCGCCAGTCACCAATCCGCCAGTCCTCACAAGGTTCGCCATAGCATTTCCATGTCACTTATAACGTTTTCATACTATGTTTTACCCGAATTTCTCAGTGGATGTTTTGTTGTTGTAAGTGTTAGTTTCGTAACTACAAATTGTAGCTAAAAAAGTGTTTTAGTACTTACTCTTTATAAGTGGTTTATTTTTTACTTTTTTATTTTAAATTCTGTAGTGGTCATAACTCGTCTAGTACAGGATATTTAGAGATGCATTTTAGTAGTAGATCTTACTATGTCCTGTCACATTTGTTGCTAGTCCTGCGTACAGCTATTTAACGAGTGTAGAAAAGATACTCGAAACAGAAAACTTTACATTCTATATGATTCGCAATGTAGAATGATGCATTGTAATATCCTAGCTAAATTAGGTTTCTTTAAGAGCTAGAATATTGAAGAACTGTGTAGCCACTATTCGCTGAGTTCTGGTAAGTAACAAGTCCAAAAAAGGGTTAAATTTAACGTTTATTCCAGCTGAAAATAAATGAACAGATGGTCCTTTCTTGGTCTTATTATAAGCCTCTACTTGGGCTTTAACTTAAAATAGAAAATGTGAAAGTAATCTAATGCTATCTATAACAAACCTCCCGAAGCCATACAGAAGTGACTAACAGAGTTGACCCTTATTTAAGATCACAAGCGAATACTAGTAGGCACGTAACAATAAAAAGCCATGAAGCAGATAACTTAGACTAGAAGCAACAATGTGACCGAAAAGCAGAACACGTTGTCCTACGTTCTTCTAATGAAGGAACGCAGACTTCAGCTTAAATATTCGTTTCTACCTTAAATCGAAATCCTGAAAACTCATTCTGGCAGGAAAATGTTGGGGGGAAAAAAAGAAGGTGTAAGGTTTATCCTAAGTTTTTAACAGTTAATGTTTAGTTTAAGCCACTTTCCTAACGCTTCTTAATTTCAGCTTACAACTACTGGCCAGAACGTGTTTTTTAGAAGCGTGGTTAATTGCAAATGAAGGAAGAACAAGTATTTAAAGTTGAAGTTCTGCTGACTTCGTTAGAGAGCCAGAGATTCTGAGCAGCGCGCGTTTGCCTTTTAGGCTACTCTCTCTCTTAAGCTATTATTACTCTCGGCCGTACTTTAGGCCCTTGATAGTTTCGCCGTTTAGTTAGTGTTAAGGGGCCAACTCTGTTAGAATCTTGATAGCTTCGGCTATATCTTTTTAGTTAACGTTTTACTTCTTAGTATTCCTGAGTTCAAGTCCAAGTGGAGGGTTTTTTGTAAACTCCTTCTTGGAGTCGTCTGTTAAATTTATTTTGAATAATAAAGGGTATTTAACCCCTCCTGAGTTCTGCTCTCTGTCTATTGAACTAAGCGATTATTCGTTTAACAGTTCTTAAGGTTCCTCATTCTTAGTTGTAACTCAAGGTTTGGAATCTTACAAAGGTAAAGGAAAGTCTTGTTCCAAAATAAAAATATCTATTAAGAAAAAAAATGAAGTAAGCCCTGCAGTTTGCATCATACTGAAAGCTCTCCAGTGTCCTTTGGCAATTTATAAATGGTTACCTCATTTCACATAGTTTTCTGCATTCGTTAGTCTGCGTTTGATTTGTCTCACTAATAGCCGAATTAATTGGATGATTTAGATGATTAATTGAATGATTAATTGGATTATATATTTACAATAAGTACATGAGGTCTTGTCTGCTTATGGTAATGGAAGGTATGGTTGTATATGGGAAGGGATGTCTTTATGGAGAATTTACAAAGGAGAACTTTATCGTGTACTTGTTACACACTGGGTAAACGTTTCACTGGGTAACTCATGCATCTGATTCGTCACAATTCACCCCTGGATCAGAACTCTAGTCAGTGGCGTAACTAGAACTCTTGGGTGCCCATGCAAAAAAATTTTCCTGGGCCCCTTTCCCAATAAATTTAATGTGCTTAAAAATAAATAAATAAATAAAAAACGCGAAAATTAAAAAAAAATCAAGGATTCCAGGAGCCAATGTTTTCATGATGATTTTTATTACATCTGGATTAATTGTTAAAAAATAAAAGCACGTTCTTAGGGAACAAGTTGAAAGGTACGTAACGTGAAGAAAGAATAAAAAGGAAAATAATTTCCCTTGACCAACTGGTGAAATGAAAATTTGCTTTAGTCTGGGTATTTGACGTCAGATGATTTTAATTCAGTTAAGACTTTTTGTGTGAGTGCGAGAGACAGGTATTTCTCTCCTTTCACTGAGATGCATACTGATAATAAATGAATAAGTCTATATAAAAAAAGGAACATGTCGACGTATAGCCTTAAGAAAAGGAAGAAAATATGTGTACTGCTTATTCGATAATGCGAATAATACAGAAACAAATTAATATATAAAATAAGTACTTTATAATAAATAGTTACAATTAATTGCCACTTCCTCCGCTTTTTGATATGGGATTGCAAAAAGGAAAAACCTTTCCTTTAGGGGGTCGCCTTTAATAATTTTCAGGTTTGAGACTAAGGAATATAAAGAAACTTTTCTTATTTTCCGCTCACTGCTATCCCTAAACTGGGGTAGGTCATGAAGTTATTATTTCATAATCGAATGCTAGAATTTTAACTTTTGCAAACACTTGAATTTAGCTGTTTCAGGTGCTTCCAAGGGCCTCCTATCGGCTTCATACAGAGAATTGCGTTACTGCACCATATAGGTAGGGGGCCCTTAAAAACTTAAAAGAAAACGAATTCTATTATCTACATATACTTAAGGATTCTAAAGCTAAAAGTAAATTGGAATCAAATGAAGGCTATTCCTCAACTATATTAATATTAACAATCGTGCAAAAGGGGTTTAACACAAAATCAAAACATATTAAAATTAAAATAAGAATTTATAGTAGTACAAATTCTAAAAATAAAAATGAAAAGCAAAAGGAAAAAAATACAAGATAAAAAATATAAAAATAATAATTAATCTTCTTTTATTGAAATTCTAATTCCGAACTCATCAAGGGAAAATGAATTAAAGCTTCTATATATATGTAATGGAATCCGTCTTTTAAGTTTAAACATGTAAATGTAGTTCAGCAGGACATTTAAGGGCCCCCTAAGCCTTCCGGCCCCTATGCGACGGCATTCCTTGCATACCCTTATTTACGCCACTGACTCTAGTCGATTCCTCGGAAACAGCACGGTTGCATGCTTTCATGGATTTCCCCGTGGACTCTGAATACTTCTTTGGGGAATTCCTTCAAGAAGGCACCTTTTCTTTTTTTTTCTTTTCTTTTTTTTTTCTTTTCTTTTTTTTTTTTTTTTTTTTTTTTTCTTTTCTTTTTTCTTTATTCTGTTTAATTTGCCTTTAAACGAGAGGTTTCATAACTAAGTTCATATAACAATACTTTGAGGTAAGCAGATATTTATGTATCCTTTTCGACAAAGATGTAATTCAAATATAATCCTCTCATATTCAGCAACTTTTTTTTTAAAGAATTTTGTTTCTCTTATTAGCTAAGTTCTGCATATTTGACGATGACATATATGTGCTTTGAAGTTACAAAATATAAATAAATATCTCTGAAATTATTTTTTTCTCAAACTTAGGTTGGCATGGATTCCTGTCATATACGCATCCTACCTCAAACAACGTTCCACTTGTGAAATAAACGATTCAGTGCACATGTTGGACGTAGCCCTTCCGGGTCTGTGCATTCTGTTCCTCATGAACTGGCTGGTGTCTGCCTTTTTCGTCATCTTCAGTGTGAAAGGTACCATATCACAGGTAAAAGATTTTGAATCGTAGAGGAATGAAAAGAATGCGACTTTAATGAGCGCATCATTTACTTAATTGTTATGAAATGCATTTAATTTTTGCTCTTCCTAGTGTGTGACTCGGAGGTTTAACTTTAACTTAATTAGTCTTAAAAATAAACCAATATATTTGCATATGAGTGAAGAAATAATACCTTGAACAGATATGAATTAAGAGCATCATGATACAATTTGTAAATATTTTACTGCATATTTTTTGAACGTCGTTGTAAACAACGCGCTTAAATTATCGTATAGAAAAAAAAAAAAAAAAAAAAAAAAAAAAAAAAGAATTAATTCCTTTCTGTAGTTAAATGAAGCGGAAGTAGATTACAGCGCCAAATATACGAGTATAAATTTAACTAGCTGCCATGAGATGAATTGATAAGATTAAAAACCGTTCAGTCTTTTACATCAGATAAGATTGGTAACTGAGCCATCGAGACTGTTGCTAAGTGTGAATTTGATTCCAAAGTTAAGTTCGGTATTTAAGAAATAACGCCGTCAAAAAAACTGAATCGATGGTGTGAAATATGATTATGAGGGTGCTTTGTTTTTATAATCCTATCCTTATCCGTTGAATTCGTTATGGGAACGCGCAATTTCTTTTATTTATGATATCATTAAGCAATATCCATAGCGCCCCTTCCATTACGCTGGCATTTCTTCAGATGGAATTTAACACCTTTCGGTAAACATTCACAGCATCAAAAGGTTTTAAAGTATTAAAAGATCCAAATTGTCATTCACTAACTTACCCATTTGCTTAACTGTGTTAATTTCAAACGGATATTGAATAATATAAAATCTTGATTAGAATTACAGATTTTAAATACAGATAGAACTATCTAGTTTTAAGTTGAACTCATGGCTTATTTTTAAGATTACTTTGCAGTGGTATACTGCAAAACCTCAATGTATTCAACACAAAGCATTCTGAATTTTGTTTGCTATTAGCGTTGCAAATAAAGAAAAGAATCCAATAAGAAATAAAAAATTCATTCCAAGTATAAACAGCATCATTCCTGTGGTTGATCTGCCGATATAAAAAGAAAAATTGTAAGCTCAGGTACTGAATAGCAATTAATGTTAATCAAAAGAGCTCGCTAGAATTTAGTCAAAATAATTTCTTTGAAAAACACGTTCGTAGAAGTAATTCCATTCTTCCCAAATTTATTTCAAAGACAGACTCTTCCCAAAACCAGGAAAATTCTTTGTTTGTAATAAGCTCATAATAAGCTAAAACTTTTCTTTAGATTACAAAATTTCTTGATTGCCAGACTACCTTTTTCCTTTATTTCTTTCTTCATCGCATGAGTTGAATTTCCTCTACTGGACCTCGATTAAAGTTATATGTCACGTAATGTCTCTTTAGTATTACCTGGCTTTTGTAAATGGGTTTTCTCTGATAGTCAATGGCGTTTAGTAAAGTAGATTAGAGGTCAAATAAGTTGTCTAGTAAGTCTTTGTAAAATGTATGGATAAATAAAGGGACTCATGATTTCTGTTGTTAATACGGCATTCCCAATGTGCCTGTTAAGTTTTAGTAGGCATTAATTAGCCGTCGGAATAACAAAGGCTTCATAATATCCATAAAAAAATAAAGGAATAATTTATTCTCTCGGTTCTTTTATTTATTTATTTTCTTTTACTTTATTTTTATATTTATTTATTTTTCATATTTCTTCATAATATCAAAATAATCTTCTTCATAATATCAAAATATTCAAAATATTCTTCTTCATAATATCAAAATATTGTTGAGTTATATGCAATGATTTTTTTTTTTTTTTTTAATTTAATTTATTTTTTACCATACGAAAAGGAGGACAGAAAAGGCACGTTGAAAAGCAATGTAGAAGCATCTTTTGTGGCCTGTTCAAAAGTAAAAGTAACAAGCGCTCTTTCGTATTTAATGTTTATGCGTGATAAAACTACTTAGCACAGAACAGCCTCAGGGTTTCTTGTTTAAGTTTGTCACGAAGTATTGGAAAAGTATCCCGGGGATATTGTTTCTTAGATGTCCTGAGAACATTGAAATTTAATATCCTGAATATGTTTTGTTTAAAACACTATATGTCGGGATAGGATTAAATCCCCTGAAAATAGATTATTTAGTGAAACACATTTTTTTTTTTTAAACTATTGACTAGTCTGTGAAACCAGTTTTGGAATACTTACTCATTTTTTAGTTCTTCTTAGACTGGGGAAAATTGTGAATGCATTTATAAGCTCCAGCAATGGAATTTTTTGCGGAGTATATGTATATTGTAGATTGAAAGATTAGATTTTTCTCAACTACTACAGTCATCGATAGATTCGAAAAGGTGCTAAACTCTTTCAGCTCTTTTGAGAGAAAAACCAGTTTCAAAAGAAACACTCTTGCTACATTAGAAAAGCTATGTTTTACTCATAGGTAATATAGATGCGATTAGTTAAAAAGAGCTTATTTTAAGAAAGTCGTTCTTAAAATTACCTTTCCAAAGACTGCTAGCCCTTGAATCCATTTATCATAATTATCTGCTTACTATTTTTTCTTTATTTCAGAAAACTGAATTTGACTTTGGTAACTAAACAACCATCTAATTTAGTTGATAGTGTTATAAAATATATCTTGAAGATATTAACAGCTATTGCTCTGTAGAACCATTAGTCATTATATACATCTTTATACTAGATATAAATGAAGGCAGTTTTTCACGTTTGAATATAAATAATCACCTTTTAATCTAAGCGTACTAGTATAACTTTCTTACTGAATATTTCCTAGAATCTAATTTGATTATTAATCAAAGATTATAATGTTTGAATTATATATTATAAATATATCTAGAGACTATTATTTAGTTTTACACTGTTTCCAGTGCTAAGTGTATGCAGAAAAAAGGAAAGTGTAGTAAAAGAAATTAAACATCAAAAGTTATCTTAAATAGAATACATATTCAGAATACGAGCGTGGACCTATCATGAATCTCTGATATTCCGAGTGTATAAATAATTGCACTTGCTCAGTTTGCAATTTCAAATACTGTTGTCAAATATGCTAATTCTACAGCGAATGAGAAACAACAGTGGATTTTCGGAATTTCCTGTGTATGTTTCCTTTGTTCTATTGATAACGGCCAAGCATATGGGCACCATCTGCCTAGGAGAAGAAATGCTCGTGGAAGCTTTTTAATAGAAAATGACTCGGATTACATTGCACTTGGGTTAGGTCAGGTATGCCTAATCCATAAATCGCGAGCCAGAAACAAATATTGAAAGCTGCGCTTGAAGTAGTTGATTGTTTCATACAGGTATAAAAAATACTCGCTTCTTCTGTGTACCTTAATTTTTAGTTTTAGTAAACATTAACGGTTTTGTAGATATCTTAATCGTGTTATCATACGAGCCGGGAAAGGGAAAAGTGTACTTACAATTATAATTTTAACGATGAGTGGAAAGATAAATATTTTTTTCATTAATTTTAAGAACAAAAGTATTTGTTTGATTTATGGCTGAAGAGTTTCTGTTGGGGAAGGGAAAAAAGTAACATAGAACGACATTTAACAATAGTTCACAAAAAATGTTATACTAATAACATAAAATGTAAAGTGAAAGAATTGAAAAACACATTCTTTCCTAACAATCAATGTTTACTCTTTCCACAAATAAAATGAAGATTGCTGCGATTGCATGATTTAAAATTGCAATTAAAAAAAAAAAAAAAAAAAAAAAAAAAAAAAAAAAAAAACCACATCTTTGAGGATGGCAACATGACTAAACCATGGACCATATAAAAAATAGACTAACCCAGTGGGCGGGGCGTGCGTCACCGACATGTCGGCAAGAAAGAGTATGGACGATCTGGTTTACTTTAACATTGAAACCTATGACGTTTTTATCACATAACTCTTTTTAATTATTAAATGTGATACGTTGTATAGTGATGAGATTATGAAAGCCACAGTTTTTTCCAAATAGGATTTAATATACGAGTATCTCATTAAAGCACTTTTTACTGCATTTCGCGCATTTTTTTCACGCGTAATTCTTGTACAAACATCTTTACTTTGGTAAAAACGGTAAAAACTCTAAGCACAAAATTTATGAACTTAATTTTGCGTAAAAATAAAGTAAAATTAAATAAGATTGATAGTACGTGATGCTTTGAAATAAATAAGTAAAATTAAACAAGATCTAATAATTTTTTTAAAAAAATTTAATGAAAATTTTCAGGTAGCGATTTTCCAAACAATAATAACATTACAAAGCGATCATATTTATTTGATTATAGGATCATTAAATTATTAACATTAAAGTGGATTAGTTATTTTAATAATTCATAAAATTCGGAGCATAAACTTTTCTAAACGTAATGAAGGGGAAAAAAAGAAGCACTCAAATTTTATATTACTCCCAAAAGGAACCTTTTTTTAAAGTTTTGTGTGTTACCTATATTTATTGAATATCATGTTCTTCGCCCGTAAACCAAATACATTTGAAAACAGCATATCTTTAGAATTTTCGCACTGGAGATAAAATTGTTATTTTCTGTACAGTGCTCGCTCTGAACTCGTTGAGTTTGTTAATCAAAAATTCGTTAAAGTTTTACAAAATATGAAATAGATTAAAATAAATTCGAAATTCGGCACATGTTCTGTTGGAGAATTACATTATTCAAAAATTTGATGGCTCTAGATACTGTCGTTTTTGTCACAGTGCAAGAAACATAGATGTATTCATGCAGATTTCTTCATTATTTAATTTCTTTACATATAATACAAGGCGATAATATTTGGTAACAACAATTTGCAAGGAGACACGGACACTTATAGTAAAACAGCGCAAAATGCAGCTTCGAAACTAACAGCCTTTCTAGGCGACCGCCGCTTTGGGTTAATAAATTAAATTAACAATAAATAAAAAAAATCTTAAGCAGAACTAAAAATAAATTTAAAAAAATAGTCACTATAAAATAGAAGCACAATTAATTATTACGGTTAAATACAATTTTAATATTAGAATTAAATGTATAAAAATTTTTAAGGCATCAAAAATGTTTATCACTATGATGTATTATGAAAGATAATTGAAATAAAATTCCTTTATAGAAATTAAACTATATTACTCATCTATCATTTTAAAAAAGCAGCACAATTTAGAATTTTAAACAAAACTTTCAAAAATTCTTTTTTAAATATTTTAGTACTTTTTCTTTATTTACATCAATAAAAGGCATAAAAATTGCAAGAGAAAATTTCTTGTTTGAAATTTTCTATTAGTTCAGATTTAAAATATTATTTTCTAAAAGAAGTAGTTACAAATTTCCTTACAGCATAGGAAAAGCTAAAAAAATATCCAGCCTTGAAAGCATGCAATAGCTTTATAATTATTTGAAACGTTAATTATGCTTGATAAATATGCTAAAGTTTTAAAAATCAATCTCAATTTCAAAAATAAAAATATATAGAAATTCTAATTTGTGAAATGAGTCGCTACAACCAGCTCTTTCTTAACAATTATACACGCTGCAATAGGCAACCAATGTTAAATTTCTGCAAGTGGTCCCTACTCCTCCGGATGTGATCAAGGTGACAGCCGACAACGCCTCAGACGAGGGAGAAAACCCGTTTGGGTTAGTCTATTTCTTATAAGATCCATGGATTAAACAAGCAATGCTTGCTACATCGGTGATTTAATCACAAGAAGCTAAAAATACGAATGAAACTATGCCAGCTGTCCTAAATGTCCAATTATCCACAAATTATGTAACGGCTGGAATAGAAACTATGTTTAAAAATGTCAGAGAACAGGTAAAAGATGATTTACAAAAATGTGTTTTCTTAAGTGAACGGTGTGATGAATCTATGGATATCAGCAGTGTAACTCTGCTCAGTGAAGAAAGATACTATACAGTCAGTTTTTCCATAAAAAGCCAATACACCCGAAGTGAACGTATATCAAATTATTAAAAACAACACTAGTGAAATTAATCTTCTCCTTCAAAAACTTGTATACATAAACAATAGACAGCATATCTGCCATGAATGGTTCTTCTGTTGGTTTTACCCCATTATGTAAGAATGACAGGATTTTTCAAACTTTTTACAGTATCATTGGATCATTCAAAAACATTGCATGCATTATGAACAAAAAATTTATATTAGGAATACGAGGTGAAAATTTTTCGAAAAATTGTAAATTCTATGCATATTAGACGACTTAAAAAGAAACTGTTCAAAGTAATGACTGATGAACTTATGGAACTTTAGTATGGAATTTTAATGCTGTTATGAAATTAAATGGTTTGGTAAGAGAAAAGTCCTACAACGATTTTTAAAGCTTATTTCAGAGGTAAAGCAATTTTTAGAATCCAGAAACGAAACTTATGAAGAACTTAGTGATCATAGCCGCTTATCTAATTAACATTTTGTCATGAACATTGAACAACCAAAACAAATAAACTGAATCTTAAAATTTAGGTCAAAGAAAAGACTATCATTGGGTTAATAGGCATGTAAATTAAAATTAAATTTCTGGAAAATTTTTTCTACGAATGAAAGGAATGGAACTTTTGAATAATAATGAATAACTTTTGAATTTATCTTTTAACTGTAAAAGAATGTAACTTTTGACAGATTATAAGTTTAGAAAAACTACATAAAAAAGTAAGAAAAGTGAAACAAATAAAAATTCTGAAAATCAAGTTGATCCTAAAATAGTTTCGAAATTAGATTTTCTGATTTTCGTAAAATTCAGCCCATTGCTTCATTCATTTCAAATCCATTTGTTGGTACTAGTATTTCTGAAATATTGAAAGAAATTGAAATATATTAAATAAAAATTCTACTGATCTAAAAATGAAAACAACTGGTTTTCACTCTGATCTAGAATATCGCAAACGGACATTCCGGTATTCGTAGATGAGAAAAAATATTCATTCTTAAAAGACACTTTTAAGAAAGGTTAAATTCCTGCATTGTATCAATTAATCATTGCGAAACAGGTTTTTCAACAATCAACTTGTAAAATCAAGTTTCAGATCCAGGATAACAAATGAAAATCCGAATGATTGTACGAATTTAGCCATAACATGATATGTACCAGAGTAAAATAAACTTTCAGAAAGTGCACTGCCAGATTTCAGACTAAAATATACTTTTCTTGCATTAAATTGGTATGTTATTGACTTTTTAATTAGTAGTAATATAAATAATTCATAATGGCAGTTTTTTAACTAATTATACCACGCATTTTTATAATGTTTATTTCTAAATTGTTTCTCATAAAGTTCTGGGTTGGGCACTATCGGGTTAGATTAATTATTTAAGAGAGCTCTGTACATAAAGAGACAGATGCTTTTCTGGAGAACTTTCTTCAAGAGAAACTAGATAGTATTGACATTATGCATAGTAGACAGCCACGGAATAAATCGGGAGTGGTTTTTCCCAAAATAGCCTCCTTATAGATATTTCTTCCCTTAGGTAGATAGCTCATCGAAAGTTTTGCCATAATCTAAATAATCCAATCCAATTCAATCACTTCACCGGGGTTTGAACCAGAGTCGAAGTACCAGTGTTCGCCGGTCTTAACCTTTCGCCTATTAGCAGTTCGTTCACGTTTCTACATTAAAAATTTTTAGGCAAACAAGTTTAAATTACCAGAAGGCGACGCATTCAAAAGGAATTCATTTAGCCTTCTAAATATGTATTATTTTTTGAAAGAAATATCACTTATCTTGAACAATATACCCATATATTATATTAAATGAAAATTAGTGTAGCATAAAAAATGTACTGAAATGAAAATTAGTAATGCTACATAACGTATCATACTTAATATTAATGAAAATTATACTTTAGTTTGCTTACGTTATCCCGAAGAAACAAACAAACAAACAAAAAAAAATCATTTACATGGCTGCATTTATTTTTATTGTTTTCATTCCCCTCAAATTTACTTTTCACATTGTTATATGATTCCGCCCACTTGGGGGCTTTTAATAACGAGTACTAGTACAATGCAATCCTGAGCGACTATATAATAAAAAAAGCAGTGGTAAGCCCCGCAAGAGCTTTGTACTTGCTTAATCAGATGATCTTAGATCTCATTATTTTGTGTTTGTTCGTTTTTCCAATTTTGATGTTTCTTTCTGCTTTTAACAATGAGTATTATATGTATTTACTATATTTATAGAAGATAGAAATTGATTTGTTGTATACATTCAACTTTTTCAGCCAGAAGCAAGGCGACCCGTTGTGAAAATAGTTTGCATAAAACTCATCGTCAGCGCTCTAGACTTTGCATGGGCCATTTTCGGAACGGTCATTCTTACCAGGAGTTCATTTTGCGACATCATCGGAGTTGAAGTTCTCATTAAAGTAAGTATACAGTTAGCCACAAAAGTCTGCGTACAGACTAAATTTTAAATTAAAAAAACGCTTAAAGCATAGAAAAATGTATTTTAATCATTGCATTTTTTTCTTCTATTAGCTAAAATTGTAAGCTTAAATAAAAAGTAAATAATATCAGTGTAATACTTTTTACATTTTTCAAAAATATATTTTGTCAAAAAAACTCAGAAATTCCCTCCAATAAGTTTGCGTACACTTTCAAAAAAAGTAAAATATAAGTTTTTTACATTACTTCAATACTTTGTATCATATCCTTTATTCTTCAAAACAGCTTGCAGACGTCTGGGCATTGACTGAACCAGTTTTTCAATGTCATACGACGTAAATTTCGCCCATTCTTCCTGCAATTTACTAATTAGCTCATTTAGCGACGTAATATTGTGTTTTCGAATTCGTTTCTCCAATTTTGCCCACAAATGTTCGAATTGTGGTGACTGTGGAGGAGTACGCAACTGTCTTGGAGTGTGATAGAGGAGATATTCCTTCACAATTTTAGTTGTATGTTTTAAGTCGTTGTCTTGTTGGAAAATAAAGGTATTAAAAAGGTTTAAATTTTGGGCACTGTCTCGTAGATTTTTCTTCAGAATATCCAGATAAACATACTTATCCATGACTTTATCAATAATGTGAAAATTTCCAACTCCTTTCAACGACATACACCCCCATACCATCACACCGCCAGCTCCATGTTTGACAGTTGGATTTAAATTTCTCAGATTCAGTTCTGTTCCTGGTTTTCTCCATACAATAGGGTGGCCACTAACTTTAAATATTGTAAATTTACTTTCATCTGACCAAATTACGTTGTTCCAGAAGTCCTGCGAAGAGTTTAAATATGTTTTAGCAAAACCAATTCTTTCCCTTCTATTTGTCTCGGAAATGTATGGCTTAGACCTAGGTTTGCGTCCATTGCACACTAGAAAATGGTTTTCCAATTGTTTTACCAATATAACGAAGAGTTTTACCTTCATCTCTCAATTTAATAATTAGTTGTCTCGCAACTAAAGGAATTTCTTTATTGGTTGTCATTTTCGTCAAAGAAAATAGAAATAACAACTTCCAATCAACGTGAAATTTGTTTCGGAAATCAATGACCTTGAAAATGTAACCTTCTTTGCATTCTCAAGTTTGAAGTTTAAAAGCTAGATAAGAAATCCCCCGCCTCCTTCGTGATGTACGCAAACTTTATTGGCTTTGATTTCTGGTCACTTATCTTTTAAAAATTAGTGTGCATAAATTATTAGAAATGAAAATATTGCAGTTAAATAATTTCCAAGTCCCTTATTGAAACTAAATATTTAAAAAATAAAACTTTAAGAAACTACCCTTTTCCCACCTTAAAATTTGGATTTGATATTACTTTTCTTGATGTATGCAGACTTTATTGACTAACTGTATGTAATATCTGCTTACTTCCTAAAATAAATTAAAAGTTATATTTAGTCTTATGTACGTCTGTACTTCTGTAGCAGTTTTTTCTCCTTGCTACCTTTTATAAATAACAAACTCGTTTGAGAAGACAATTTTACATCGCAGTATAAGAATATACTTTTGTAATCCTTCATTTAGAATTGTTGAATATCCTTATTAATTTAAGTTTTTCTGAAACCCAGTCGCAGTTTCTTACCCACTTTTAATGCTGTGATAAGGTTACATAAAAGAAGAAGAGACTGAAGATTTATGTGGATAAGGATGTCTCGTGAGAATAAGCTGAAAATTATTATTTTTTAAACTTACAAACACGTTTTCAAGAGTTGTTAAAATAGTCTTTATTAAAATAATTAAATCGTTGGCAATGTTAAAAACGCAAACTCGAGAGCCACGAATTGCTCTCGCATGTAAAATTTATAGAATTTGATTTTTGAAGATAGGTTTTTCTCTGCAAAATTGTATGTAGCCATTTTTTTTTTTTTTTCGTTCAATAAAATTTTTATGCTGTGTTTTGTTTTGAACCTGATGTCACAACCCAGGTTTTGCATAGCGGTTTCGGCCACTACACCACAATGCTTTCCCCCTTGGTTAACTTGGAGAAATGACGCGTGAATGGGGGAAGCCTTTTTTTGTCATGTAAACATAAAATATGGAAGTCTAATAATTATGTGTATTTCAAATCAGGTTGTATTTTTACAGCTACGAAGTTTTCTAATTTCTGTGACTAATAAAGGCAGAGTGTAATTAAAAATGAGAATAAAAATGGTACTGCTGGATATTGAATACTTGTTGCGAATTCATTTGTGAAAATTTTTCTTCAGACATTTAGAAGAGATGCATTCAAAGGTTATTAAAATAATTTAATTAAAATAAATATCATTCAGCACTTTTTGAAACTGCGAGGCGATAATTACGATGCAAATTTAATGCAATTACTTTTAATAATAACCTTATTCAATGTCTTTTAATAACAGTTTACAATTTATTTATATTAAAAGAATTTAGAGTGTAAATACAGGATAAAAATACGAAATTTAAATGAAACTGTTTATGTAAAAGCGTTATTATACATTCTGCTCCATTTATCCTCAAGTGATTCTGTAGTGTACTTTTTTTGTAACCTAAAATATCCAGAGTTATACTCCTTTCTGGGTCTAATAAATTTAAGTCTGTTTTTAGTTTACTTATATGATTAGTTTTAGTTTATGTGATTACTTTTGTCTCTGTCATTAATTTAAATAGTGCATAAAGATAGTAAGCGGTGTGCCTGTTTTTTTAGGAAGCTATTAAATTAGATAAATTAATTTAGATAAATGAATGATTACCTGTTGGTCTATAATGTAGGAAAAATATATAGGTGATAAACATTTAATGGAAAAGTAATAACACATTGTAAATACACTTACTGTATTTTATTTACTTCGTGAGCCATTTTTCAGATAAATCTAATGTTCGTTTTAGCACCAGACGGGCTATTAGTCTCGAAACTCACTTTTTCTACATGTCACTTTTGTATTTGATTCCCATTTCTAATTATTACCACCAAATGTCATCATCATTTATTAAAAGAAATTAATAAAAAGACTCTAATATAAATAAAAAACACAACAACAAAACCCCACCACCACCAACACAACCACACACCACAACAAAACAATATAATCGATGATCTTTACTTGCTTTGGAAACATTAACTGTCCTGACTCGGAACAGGGAGCTTACTCAAGCTATGTTCAATAAATTGTGAAGTAGACAATACACACAGGAAGGGTATACGAAACCCTTTATTTTTCTATCTTTACAGATGATTTCCGGAACTTCGGAATACAGAGACCAACCACTTGTGGTCTGAACGTAAGAATATAAAAATATAACTAAAACTCTAACTAAACTAACTTTGGATTAATATACAAGTGCCTACTTTAAGATTGGCCGTATATTAACAAAAGCCGTATGTAGTACAGAGAGCTGCTAAAACTACGATACGTTTAAAATTATCAAGAGGATTAAACCTCTGGCCTTGAAGGCAACCAGCAGCAACCGAGTAAAACTACTATGGCAAGCGGCCTGCTTCTAATAACTCCTTCCTCTCTCTGACTTGGCAAAAAGCCACAACTTAAGTACTTGGCGTTAGCAAGACAAATTTGCATAAATAAGTTAAAGCTTTTAATTCTGGCCGGAAGTAGAAAATAAGAAGTGATAGTAAAGATTTAAAATAAAATAAACGTTAGTAAAACTTAGGATCCTTACATACTTCCCGCCAGAGTTAATTAGTTTGAAACTGAGGTCTAAAACGACCTTGTTGAAAACTTTTAGCTCTAGAATCTAACGCGAGGCCAATCTTTTACAAACATTTCTCACTAGAAACTAGAAATTTAAAAAAAAAAGTCGTTTTTACATTATCAACTCCATGGACAAGATTTTTCATCTGTACTGCATCTAAACAGGAGTTTCTTAGTTGAAATCTGGTTCCTTCCAGAGATCTGGAAGGAAAACTAGTTTAATGAAATGTTACACAATTAAATGGCAAGTAACATGAATACTTATATTTCTCTTTTAACATTCTTATTTCATTCATGACGTTATTTAATTATCTCCCCGTGCTCTCTGACATGTGTTGTAAAGGAAAACACCAAACACGAACGAGCGTGTCTATGTACAAGTGTTCAACACTACCGCCTGCAATCAAAACACTAACGTGTTAAAATTCAACATAACAAGACCTCAGAACACACCTTATATTCATCTCTAAACCCTGAGGTACTATTCTGAAAAGTGGCTAACTCTGAAGTGTAGCGTCAGAGAGCCTAACTACATTCATTCAACCTTTAACACATATTCACAATAATTTGCTCTTTTTACAGTCACACGAATAAGTTAAAATTTTTGGCATTACTTTCACTTTTAACATATCACAGTATTTCTTAACTTTTAAAATAACAGTTCACATTGTATATAAGGACATATTAACATGCCGTTAATTTTACGCATTTTAAAACATACATTAGTAGTAGTACATTGTTAACTTCTATTCTTTTCCAAGCAAGTGCCAATTCTTCTACATTGAAATACTACATTTCAAAAGTCTTTCAGACTAAAACTTCTTTCTTGCCAGAATCTTTTAAATAAAATTTTATACAATAATTTTTACAATTTTCTTAAGGTACCTTTCTCAAAGATTATCAATGCTTTTACAATATTCAAGTATTTACACATTCCTATTATACATTAATTTTAGTTTTACTCGCGAGTAATTGAAAAACATAATACCAAAATAGGTAACAACTCATTTCTCGCCTTTTTGGCGATAAAGGTAGGCCTCACATGAGGTAAAACTTCTTGAATTCTGCCACTTGCAGTAAGAATGAAAAATTAACTTAAGGTTTCAAAGTAACATAAAGTTTTACTTATCTTTGTGATATTCAGACATCCTTTTTTCTGCCCAGTCCTGGAAAGGTAGCGAAGACTACGTTTGGTTTATCTTCCGTTCTTGTGCGGGTTCGCCCTTCAAGTCCTTCCTCCATGAGCTTTCTTTT